ACATTGTATCTTCTCAATCTCCAGATCTGATGTGATTTGTTTCACTCCTCACTGTAACCACATCACGTGACAGCCATTGTGCAAACGACGACTGTCCGGCAGTTTATGGAACCTCTACATCAATAAATGTTTCTGGCATTTCCACAATGGAGGTTAACTATAGTGGCTATATAGCTGTCACATTGTGAGGTCCTAATTTCTTCCACCGTGTGACTCTCATACCATCTGTACAGAAGCGTGTGGTAAAATCACCGAGAACATTTTGCGACCCTTTATATCATTTCGGTTTAATCAATACATTTTATTGACAACAGTAACAGAGGATGGACTCACTAAAGTACAATAACTTGAAACTATAACGATAACAGAATCCTCGAAAGCTGATATCGAAGGATGTTTGTGAGTTACGAACGTTATGACAATTGTTATCTCCAGTACACTCACGTCTGCTTCCTAGTTTATCTTCTGTATTATTCTAGTTTGTTTCGTACACAGTAGTCGTGAAGCTGGCAACGAACAACTTTGGATTATTCAGAACTAATCATTTTTACAAGTATTTTCTTCATAGATTTATAATATACTCAACTTTCTGTACGTCTGAGAGTTTATCTCTACTGAGTTTGTTCTCGTTGGGTCGAGACAGTGTTTACAACCACACCAGAACTAACATGAACAGCACGCCTCCTCTATATTCTAAAGGAGGGGATGAAAGATTGAACAACACATTAAAAGCAAGAACTGGCGAAGAAAGACATAGATGTCGGTAGGGGGCATTTACATTACACAGTAGAAGAGGAAAGAGTAACGAGAAAGTTGGTGTAATATTCCACACAGTAGAAAAGGAAAGAGTAACGAGGAAGCTGGTGTAACATTCCCCACAGTAGAAAAGGAAAGAGTAACGAGAAAGCTGGTGTAACATTCCACACAGTAGAAAAGGAAAGAGTAACGAAAAAGGTGGTGTAATATTCAACACAGTAGAAAAGGAAAGAGTAACGAAAAAGGTGGTGTAACATTCCACACAGTAGAAAAGGAAAGAGTAGCGAGAAAGTTGGTGTAATATTCCACACAGTAGAAAAGGAAAGAGTAACGAGGAAGGTGGTGTAATATTTCACACAGTAGAAAAGGAAAGAGTAACGAGAAAGGTGGTGTAAAATTACGCATAGTAGAAAAGGAAAGAGTAACGAGAAAGTTGGTGTAACATTCCACACAGTAGAAAAGGAAAGAGTAACGAGGAAGGTGGTGTAACATTCCAAATAATAGAAGAAAGATTAATTAGGAGTGTTGAAAAACAAGTGACTGTAGAAGAGGAAAGATTAACCAAAGGGTGTTACTATCCTCCACTGAAGAGGCGGAAAGACTAACCAAGAGGGTGTTTACACTCCAAGGAAGAGCTGGAAAGAAGACATCTGATTGTAAGGAGGCTTTACATTGTACATTTGGAAGAAAAGACGAAAGACGATAGTACGATGGCTGTAGGTTTACATAAAAAAGGAATAACCGAACCGAATTTGTAAAGTCGTTTTCACCTACCGCTTTTGAATAAGGAAAGAAAAAATAATATTCAAGGTGATTGTAAATTCTGTAGTAGAAAAGAAGGAATAGACTGAAAGAAAGCGGAAAGTACATTTAGGTTCTGCGGCCGGAGCCATAAATCAGTCATTGAAGATATATCAGCATCAAAGTTTAGGAGTGGCAAAGAAGTGAGTCTCAATACGACCTGAAATATAACTACAACCCAGTAGAAAGGAATGACTTAGAATCCTTAAGGAAACTTCTGAATAAAGATGTTGACGACAATACATTTAACCTAATTGTTCTGTTTTTTTCAAACCTGAAAATTGATTTAACTCTAAAACCGAATATCGAAGAGGAAAGAATAAAAACATCAAGAATCGATCCACGTTCAAGGTAGAAGACGGAAACATATATCACAATAAAAGATTACTGTATGTGCAAGTTAGAATGGCTGGTGGTTTGTACACAGGATCAACATCATGGCACAAGGGTAGTAACCCATAAGTGCTCCGTTTTAATTCTAATTCAAGACCGACTCTGAAGAATCTCAGCGCAGTGCACGAACTCCGTAGCACCGGCGAAGATCCTGATGCAGTTTAGACAGGAAAGGATTCCTTACAGTGCACAATAACACTGTGTTCTAGGCTAGGAGAAAACAGTTTACACAAGAAAGAATGTATCTTTGTTCTCCTGGATGATACTGAGGGACCGCTAAATAAAACTCTACATCCCAGGGTAGAAAAATAATGACTGACTGCCGCCAACTTGTCGAATAATCCAGAATATACGAGAAACAACTAGGGAAAACGAGAACACTTCTGAATAATAGTAAGTCAACGAGAATTTGAATTCAATCATTATTTATTCCTAACAGTTGCTAACTATTCGCCGAAAAAGTTTTTGGTCAAGAAAAATCTGCACAGGAAAACAAAATAAACTGGGTGCGTCTGAGATTTAAAAGATCTGAAGAAATCGAAACACAGCAATGCAACTGGGTTCTCTGATTGTCATCTGCCTGCAGTTGGAATTCAGCTTGAAGTTTTTGGTGTGTGGAGAGGACAATAATGTTGTACTGGCCGATGGCGTGATGTCAAAGGTCAGAACAGCTGTGCCCTGTAGCACTTCCACAGTTGACGACCCAGACTGTCAGCAGAATACATTTAAAGGTAATCACCAGCAAACTATGAAAACACAACAGTCAGAAAGTCAACAGATTGGTAAGACTCCACTGAGCGGAAATTTTATTACTTACGGCAAAATTTTGGAGGAGAACGGTACGACGTATGAATCTGGGATTTGCTTAAATAGGTCAAGGTCGCTGAGCAGAAGAGGAAGGCGAGCTTTAGCTGTAGAAGATCCAAAGCCGCCATTATCTCCCCAAGCGGGTGACACGGATAAGAGCACATCTTCTGAAAACCTAGCGGATACAACATACGTTAGGGATGATAATCGTAAAGGCTATTACTGCTACGGGATGACAGATCTTTTGTACGAAACCAGCAAATACTTTCCGACGCAGGCCATACCCCATTTTACGGGAATTCAGATGTCGACAGACATTCTCATCCAGAACAGAACTCACTGTCAGCGGCCATCACGCTTGTCCCTCTCCATGGCAACGGTGTTGAATGTTACCGTGGAGACGTGTTGTATCTCGTGGTGCACTCACGAGATCGAGATTAGCGTCAACGAGAATGAACATATTCTGTTTAATTTTCTTCAGTTCAACGTGCCGGGTTTGAACCTAGCTAGCAGTGAAGCGGTCGGTGTTTGCGACGAATCCCTGGACATTCTGGTCGACCATGTCGGAGAAGACACGCCGCCTGTAAACAACACTCCCGCCATTGGATCGTTTTGTGGAATCAAAGCTCCAAAATCCGTATTTGTTGAATACAGCAAAGCCAAGCTAGTCCTGACGTTGAAAGACAACGCACAGTGTGTGGACAAGATCAACTTCCAAGTGCAGATCGTTCCCTGCTTACATCTGTCCTACAAAAGTTGTGATTCCAGCGAGTATGTTAAATTCGAGCGTAACCATGGATACATTTCCTCTCCAGGCTTGGCGCACGGACAGAACTATCCTAATGACCTTCATTGTGTATGGAAAATTTCCGTTCCGGAAGGTCAACTCATTCGTTTAGAAGCCAGTGAAATCCGTCTCAGGGATGGAGACATGATTCAGATTTCTCCCAAACATGCAAATTCAAGACCTTTTCCTGAAATCCTGAAATATTCAGACCATCATTTCAGACAGCCGGTTGTTCTGCCGAGCAATGAATGTACAGTGGAGTTTCACTCTGACAGCATCAAGTCTGGCGTTGGCTTCAACATCACCTACACCGCTGTGAACTCTTCCAATTTTATCCCCATGTTCAACAACAACTCTCTGGATTGTTCCAGTGGCGTGCACATTCCCCGGATTATGCGCTGCAACTTTTATATTGACTGTGCTAATGGTGAAGACGAGGAAGGGTGCCCTTATAAAGAGCCTAGCTGTTGGCCTCAGGGTTACGCTATGAATGGCCGATGCTACCAGATTATAGTCAACAAACACGCCATGTCATGGCGGATGGCCGAGGAGTTTTGTGAACGAAATCTGTCTTCGCATCTGATTTCCGTGAGCACAGAGGCGCGGAGAAAATCTGTGGACAAACTTCGAGAATTCATTGGGCCAAGTCTGAGTGTGATATTCTTGGGGCTACAGCGTATGCGGATGCAACAGGTGACTCAGATGTACCGTAGAATGTGGCAGTGGACGGATGGAAGCACAGCGTTTTACCTGCCTGATGAGTACAGGTATGAAGGGTGGTCTACCTGTTCATTGTTTTACAGCGATTACTTCCACTCGACGGATTGTGGAACTATTAAAGAAAACGTTTCGTTTATTTGTGAACGAGAAATGAGGAGCCCTAAAGTATCGAAGGCCAATGGTTGGACCCCAGGACGAGACAGTGTAGACAGTACTGTCCACAAGTTAAAAGTCGGCGTGTTTCACTGTCATTCGGGTGAGTATATATCTACTGAGCAGAGGTGTGATAAGATAGAAAACTGTTTCGATAGAAGTGATGAAGTGGACTGCGATTACGATCGTCAAGTGGATTCGATGTATTCTTGTGACTCTATAGGTCTTCTGGCCTTCACTTTTGTCTGCGATGGGATCTCAGAATGCCCTGATGCCAGTGATGAGAACTGGTGTCGCGTCCCGGACAAAGCGGCCCTAGGGCTGACGATGACCACTTGCACGGATGGGATGACCATGCAGAGGTCAAGGCTCTGCGATGGGAAAGAAGACTGTCGGGACGCTTCAGATGAAGAAGATTGCACAGAGTGTGTAGGGGGCAGCGAGTTATGCCCCATGATTGCCTGCCTTCCCCAGAATTGGACAACTGACAACGAAATAGATTGTCCAATTCGGGATCTGAAGGGCAGAAGAGCGCCCGAGACGGTGTTTGTAGAAAATGTGTTCAAAACCCAGCCGCCGCCAGGTGTTGTCGTTCCAGATGGGTATGGAAAGTTCATGATCCAGGCGCTGCCCAGGAACGCCCTCTGCCCTCAGACCCATGTCCAGTGTAGTGACGGCTACTGTATTCCTGTGTACATGTGGTGTAACGGCATCATCGACTGTCCGCACGGGGAGGACGAGAGGCCCGAACTCTGCCAGCAAGTGTGTGCCAACATGTATCGATGCAAGTACTCTAGGACCTGCGTCCACAATGACCATCTCTGTGATGGCTACTACCAATGTCCGAATCATGATGACGAACACTTATGCAGCCTTCAGAATGTCACCTGCCCACAGAACTGCACTTGCCAAAGAATGGAGGTCACCTGCTCAGGATACCCCACTTTTGAGTCCCTCTCACCTGTGCGATATCTGAAACTCCAACACGCGCAACTGAATGACCTACATTTCAACAACCTGACACCGTACACACTTATTTACCTGAACGTGTCCTCGTGTGCTGTCCGAAACATCAAAGATGACCAATTGAGCTTCTTAAATCTAAGAATTCTAGACATTAGCAATAACCTCATTGAGTTTCTTCCAAACGATATATTTGAACATTGTCCTGTGCTAAAAGTCTTGATCTTTTCGCAAAACAAGTTGAACAACGTCAACTTTACGTTTCTGGAGCACGCAAGAGCTCTAACTAAGCTGGACCTGTCCTTCAACGTCAAAGTCAAACTGGAGGATGACGCCTTCAGCAAGGCTTTTAGCCTAGAAGAGCTTCATCTAAGATACATGCAGATTGAAACGATTTCCAATCACGCCTTCCGGGGCTTATCCAGACTTCGCCGCCTGGACCTCAAAGGGAATCCAATCATGACCTTTTCTGTTGACATTTTTCATTTTCAGAAAAACCTTCGCAGTTTGGTCACAGATAATTTCCGTCTATGTTGCTCTTCGATCAAGCCCAGCAGTGTTCAGTTTGTGGACTGCGACGCCCCTTACGATGAAATCTCCTCTTGTGAGGATATACTACGAACGTTGCTTCTGCGTGTGGCGCTGTGGCTAATGGCAGTTCTGACCATCTCTGGAAACTTCGGAGTGATCGTCTACCGAATATTTTTCGACAGGGGAATTAAATTAAGCTTCCGGGTCATCATCACCTGCCTCAGTGCTTCTGACCTCATCATGGGCATCTACCTGGTCATCATAGGAACTGCTGATGTCATGTACCGTGACCGTTACTTGTTAAGCGAACGAGAATGGAAGACCAGCGCACCGTGCCAGGTGGCTGGATTTTTATGCGTGTTATCCAGCGAAACGTCTGCCATGTTTATTCTACTGGTCACAGTTGACAGGTTTCTGGCCATTACTTTTCCCTTACACCGGGCTCTTCACTTCAACGCTAAATCTGCATCCATAGCCTGTGCGATCGTCTGGACGGTGGGACTCTCTATAGCCACCGTTCCACTCCTCCCACCGTTCCGCCACTGGCAGTTGTACTCCCAGAAAGCAGTCGGGGTTCCCTTACCCATCACCCGCTTCCACTTCCCGGGCTATGACTACGCATTCGCCATCTTCATCGTTTTCAACATGGCGATCTTTCTACTGGTAGCCCTCGGCCAGCTTCTGATATACCTATCAGTGCATCTGCAGAAGCACCCGCAAATCTCCGAGGCTGGAGTGCGACAGGACACGGCTATCGCCAAACGTCTGGTGCTAGTGGTGCTCACTGACTGCCTGTGTTGGTTCCCGATCACGGTGATGGGTCTGGTAGCCAGGTCTGGCCGCCCTGTTCCGGGAGAGATGTACCTTGTCACCACAATCTTCCTCCTTCCGGTGAATTCCGCCTTCAATCCGTTTCTTTACACGGCCAACTCTATCGTCCTGAACAGGCGAAACAGACGGAAGAAGGTGGTTCCGGATGGGTCGTACGGACTTAGACAGATTTATAGATGAGGCACGGAGAGGGATTTGTCAGTGATTCATTTTTGAATCATATACTTATGAGATAAAGACATAGTTATAAATGATTAATTGGCAAGTCGTAAACAGATGAAATTCGATTTCAGGCTCGTCAACGATTGTGAACTGAGGTGTGTTTGAAAGTGACGTGGCCTCAACAAGCATAACAATATCGTTTTCCATTAAAACCAGCTTAAATTAGGGATGTACCGAATAGTGATTTTCACTATTCGGCCGAATACGAATGACGGGACCAACTATTCGGCCGAATACGAACACGAATAGTATATAGTGCATAAAATATATCAGGTGTTTACAGTTTTACTTCTCTGTCATCTGATATTCTTTCAATATGCCCTAAACATTTTAGTCTGTTAGCTCTCATGATGCCAGGGATCAATGGTGATTTAAACAGATTACGTGTTACGTTGTTGCTTCTCACTCTCCATTCCCCGCTGTTTGCATCTTTGATGGGTCCAAAGATTCGTCGTAAGATTGTTTTCGAAAACCTGTAATAAGGCTTCATCTCTTTTATTTCTGCTTCAAGTTTCAGAGCCATATAACACAACTGGTCTAATCAACGTTTTATATATTTTGATCTTGGTGTTGTGAGACAGAAACTTTGACTTTAGCAGATGTTGAAGAGCATAGTATACTTTATTTCTAGATTGTATTATAGAAAGCTGAAATATTTTGGTCGTATCAAGTGCCACGACGGATTGGAAAAAATTATAGCAGAAGGCATGGTACCAGGAAGGAGCGTCAGGGGCCGACCGACACAAAGATGGGCACAGGATATAAGTGACTCCTTGAGTGTGAAAGTGCATGAGGCGGGAGAACTGGCGAGAGACCGAGTTTCTTTCAGGCAGACTGTGATGAGAGCGACGTTCTGCAAAGGACCTGCTACATGATGATGATTCTAGATTGTATTTCTTTTCTCAGCATCTTGGAGTAGTTGAAGTTTGCACCCAAGTACTTATATGTTTCCGTTCGTTTGATTTTCATATTATTGGATGTTAGTTAGTTAGTCTTTCCTCTTGTGTCGAGTGCGGCACATAGGGCAGAGGTCATGACTCTCCATGCATGGCGGTTCGTTGCCATCTGTTGTAGGTCTTGGATGTTTGAGTGGCCCATGAGTGAGCCTTCCCTGATGATAGTTCTACGTAGGGTTTCCCTTGGTCTTCCACGAGATCTTTTCCCCTGTGGTGTCCAAATGAGGGCTTGGTAAGGAAGTCTTGATTTATCCATTCTAAGGGCGTGGCCGACATAGTTCCAGCGGCGTTTTCGTATAAAATTAGACACATACTCTTGCCTGGATTCTTGCCTTATTTGTGTATTGGTTCGGAAATCTGACCATTTGAAATTTAGTATTCTTCTAAGGCATTTATTTTCAAAACTGTCTAATTTTGTGTCTAGAGTTTTCGTTGATTTCCAGCTCTCGCATCCATAGGTTAGTATTGGAATCACACAAGAATTGAAGATCTTGAGTTTTGTGTGTTTGCTAAGTGTCTTTGATTTCCAGATGTTGGACAGTTTATTGAAGGCACTAGATGCCAGTGCTATTCTAAATGGTATTTCTGGTGCGGTATCTCCTGTAGATGACATCTTGCTCCCTAGATAAGTGAAACTGTTAACTTTTTCAAGGCTGTTGTTGTTCAGCGTGATATCAACTGAACTGTTGGTAAGGTCTAGAATTTTTGTTTTTGAGGTGTTAATTTGGAGTCCAATTTGTTCTGAGAAATTCTGGAGTCGATTGATTTTTTCTTGGGCGTCTGTGTGTTCTGAACTCAAGAGTGCTATGTCGTCGGCGAAGTCTAGGTCTTCCAGAATTTTGTCAACCCATGTAATGCCTAAATTTGCAAATCTAACAGTAGCAAGCTCCTTATTTCCGCACAAAGACATACATAAAATAACCTGGATTTCGCCAGATAACATAACAAAAAACCAGATAGATCATTTTTGCATAAGCGCCAAATTCCGTACATCAGTGCAAGACGTTAGAGCCTACAGGGGAGCTGATATTGGCAGTGATCATAATCTTTGTATTGCCAAACTAAAAATTAAACTCAAGTCTCTACTTAAACCACCCAGAAATAAGAAAATAAACTTACAAGCCCTTTTGTCAAAAAATAATCAAAGCGCATTTAATGCAGAGAAACTCACCACCTATGTAACCAAAAACTAGTAATGCGGATACGACAAATAACATGGACAAAAATTGGGACTTTTTCAAGAACACACTGACGAACGCTGCAGTAAACACAGTTGGTTATGTACAAAAGCAGAAAAAGAAGTGGCTAAGCGACAACACTTGGTCAAAAATCCAAGAAAGGAAACAAGCAAAATTAACACTTTTATCCAAAAAAGACACATCTTCATACGAAAAATACAGCACGCTAGACAAAGAAGTGAAATCAAATGCAAGGAAAGACAAACAGAACTTCATACACGACCTCGCCTCCGATGCCGAAACAGCTGCCAAGATGGAAACAACAAAGCCGTATTCCATATTATGAAACAACTGTGCAATCACTCACCTACACTAAATACACCCATTAAAGACAAGCAGGGTAAACTACTGCTATCCGACGACCAACAAACAAAGCGATGGGCAGAACATTTCAAGGAAATATTAAATAGACCAAATCCTGACATCATTCCCAATCTAGAAGAAGAAATTATTACACCGACACTAGTTGCCTCCAGCGAGTCATTCACAATAGAGGAGATTAAAACAGCTATTAAAAACATTAAGAATAAACAAAGCTACCGGAGAGGACAACATCTCAGGAGAAATGCTCAAAGCAGCGGATGAAAACACCCTGCAATATTTGCTCCAGCTGATGGATGAAGTCTGGCTAAACGAATACCCACCACAACAATGGAAAGATGGTGTAATCTTCAAATTACCTAAAAAAAAAAGGTGATTTATCCGATTGTAACAACTGGAGAGGCATCACCCTGCTTTCGATACCAGGGGAACTATTTTGTAGTATGCTACTAGAAAGATTGAAAAAATCCATAGATGAAAGATTAAGGGAAGAACAAGCCGGTTTTAGATCCAAGCGGTCATGCATAGACCACATCTTTACTCTTAGAATAATTGTTGAAGATTCTACAGAATTCCAGTCAAAATTATTGATCAACTTTGTCGACTTCCAAAAAGCCTTCGACAGTATCCATCGTCCAACACTCTGGAAATTGCTTAACATCTATGGTTTCCCCATCAAATATATCAACATCATAAAATCGTTTTATAATGAAACACGATGCCGTGTAAGAACTGATTCCGGCAATTCTGACTGGTTCCCGGTGGAAACAGGAGTGAATTAAGGCTGTGTCCTATCGCCGATGCTTTTTGGTATAGCAATCGACTGGGTCATGCGTAAGTGCATATTGGATGTGGCCGGAGTTTATTTTCTTTACATGTCTAGTTAGTATTCGTACAGAATAGTAAATATTTAAAAACGTTTTATTCTTTTGTATCCTTCAGTCAGTTTGTGGTAACTAATAACTAGGAATGAAAGAAACCTTAGTGTTATAACAAGTAACTAAACTTGGAACTTGTCACTGACAGTTTATTTAATGCATGAAAGCCGCATTAGCTTTCAACAAAACCAATCGTTCCATGTTGTCAGTATAAAGGCCGTGTATGCAGAAGCGGGTGTAAGGTAACTACTATTCGTTATCGGCCCGAACGCACCTATTCGGCCGAATACCGAATAGTCAATAGGTCCACTATTCGGCCCCGAAGCGAATACGAAGCGAATATTCGGCACAGCCCTAGTTTAAATGTATTATTATAGATTGAAACAAGCTTAAATGTTTTTTTTTTTTTAAATTGAGATGTATTACTGAGTTTTCAAATTTAGAAGTGACATTTTCGGCTAAAACAAGGTTAGAAGGGACATTCTGAGTGAAGCAAGCGAGACAGTTTTGTTCTGAATTGGAACAAGATTCAAATTAGTTGTCCAACTGACAAGGTACAAGTGTCTCCGACTGACAAGATACAAGTATCTCCAACTGACAAGATACAAGTATCTCCGAATAACAAAATACACGTATCTCCAACTGACAAGATACAAATATCTCCAACTGACAAGATACAAGTATCTTCAACTGACAAGATACACGTATCTCAAACTGATAAGATTCATGTATCTCCAACTGACAAGATACAAGTATCTCAAACTGACAAGATACAAGTATTTTCAACTGACAAGATACACGTATCTCCAACTGACAAGATGCATGTATCTCCAACTGACAAGATACAAGTATCTCCAACTGACAAGATACAAGTATCTTCAACTGACAAGATACTAGTATCTCCAACTGACAAGATACACGTATCTCCAACTGACAAGATACAAGTATCTCCAACTGACAAGATACACGTATCTCCAACTGACAAGATACACGTATCTCTAACTGACAAGATACACGTATCTCCAACTGACAAGATGCATGTATCTCCAACTGACAAGATACAAGTATCTCCAACTGACAAGATACAAGTATCTTCAACTGACAAGATACACGTATCTCCAACTGACAAGATACACGTATCTCCAACTGACAAGATGCATGTATCTCCAACTGACAAGATACAAGTATCTCCAACTGACAAGATACAAGTATCTTCAACTGACAAGATACTAGTATCTCCAACTAACAAGATACACGTATCTCCAACTGACAAGATACAAGTATCTCCAACTGACAAGATACACGTATCTCCAACTGACAAGATACACGTATCTCCAACTGACAAGATACACGTATCTCCAACAGACAAGATACACGTATCTCTAACTGACAAGATACAAGTATCTCCAACTGACAAGATACACGTATCTCCAACTGACAAGATACACGTATCTCCAACTGACAAGATACACGTATCTCCAACTGACAAGATACACGTATCTCCAACTGACAAGATACACGTATCTCCAACTGACAAGATACACGTATCTCCAACTGACAAGATACACGTATCTCCAACTGACAAGATACACGTATCTCCAACTGACAAGATACACGTATCTCCAACTGACAAGATACACGTATCTTCAACTGACAAGATACACGTATCTCCAACTGACAAGATACACGTATCTTCAACTGACAAGATACAAGTATCTTCAACTGACAAGATACAAGTATCTTCAACTGAAAAAATACATGTGTACTATTTTTTAATGATAGAAATACACTATTTTGGCCATATTAAAAAAAAAAAAAAAAAGCAGAAGACATGGTGCCATGAAGGAGGGGCAGGAGCCGACCAGTGGGCACAGGATATAAGTGACTTCCAAGACATAAAAGTGCCTAAAAGCATGTCGTAAGAGTCGAATAATTGGGAGCTTTCTTCAAAGTCAGAGTACATCTGCCTGACAGGCAAAGAACCAACAGTCTGAATGCAAATGAGCCAGAACTGTAAAATGAATGTACACGCAACACTCAGTTTCTTGCACAGGACTAGAGTCCAGAAGTGGACGAACAACCAGAAATTTTCTCCCGCAGTTTACAGCTGGTGAAAGATAAGAAGAGATGTCTCATTTGATATCCCGAGGGAACAACTGCATCAGAAATTACTGGTTGTGAATGCCACAGGAGGCTGGCTGGCAGACATAATGACCAATTCAGGTGGCATGCACTATGTCATCATCTTGTAGCAGGTTCTTTGCAGAACGTCGCTCTCATTACGGTCTGCCTGAAATAAACTCGGTGTCTAGCCAGCCCTCCCGCTTCATGCGCAGTCATTGCCATTTTCCTGTGCCCATATTCATGTTGGATGGCTTCTACCCCTCCTTCTTTAGTAAATACACCTTAATACATTTAATGCGGGAGACGGAGCATCTATGGGCATGCCCGGTGTGCTATGAGGTCTATTCTGAAATCAGTAAAATATGTCTAAAACAAAAGGCTGCATTTATTTACATGTTTATGATACAATGTGACTGAGCCAGCCATACTTGACTGAGCCAGCCATACTTGACTGAGCCAGCCATACTTGACTGAGCCAGCCATACTTGATTGAGCCAGCCATACTTGACAGAGCCAGCCATAATTGACAGAGCCAGCCATACATGATTGAGCCAGCCATACTTGACTGAGCTAGCTCTAAGTATTTGAACATTTGGTATCATGTACAGTTATTATTGTCATCTCAGTTGATCAACAAATGAAGATGACATTTGCGTTGGATCATATATAGCTAAGGTAATTCATTATTGACAATGATTATTTATATGTGACTTTAGGGTGGCCATCATTCATACATGCATAGCATTATATGCATTTAGTCTGCTTTTCGATTATGAAATTGGCTGTTGGTTGTCGCTCCAAAGTGATACTTTTAGTCTGGTTGGCATTTATAATGTGACATTTGTACTGGTTGTCATTTATGTGGGACTTTTCAGCTGGTTGTCACGTTTAGGCTCGTTGTCATTTATAATGTGACATTTAGGATAGTTAAAATTTATATGTTATATTTAGGCTAGCTGCATTTACTTGTGACATTTAGGTTGGTTGTCATTTATAATGTGACATTTTGCAACAAACGGATGAGAGTCGCGGACTATCTACCATCTTCCCTGTAGCAACATACGGATGTGAGTCGTGGACTATCTTCCATCTTCCCTCTAGCAACATATTGATGTGAGTCGTGGACTATCTTCCATCTTCCCTCTAGCAACATACAGATGTGAGTCGTGGAGTATGTTCCATCTTCCCTGTAGCAACATACGGATGTGAGTCGTGGAGTATGTTCCATCTTCCCTGTAGCAACATACGGATGTGAGTCGTGGAGTATGTTCCATCTTCCCTCTAGCAACATACAGATGTGAGTCGTGGAGTATGTTCCATCTTCCCTGTAGCAACATACGGATGTGAGTCGTGGAGTATGTTCCATCTTCCCTCTAGCAACATACAGATGTGAGTCGTGGAGTATCTTCCATCTTCCCTGTAGCAACATACGGATGTGAGTCGTGGACTATCTTCAAGTCTTTAAGGAAGAAAATAGGGGCTTTTAACATAAAATTTTGTAGAAAGATTATCAGAATCACGGACGAGGAGAAACAATGACGCGCTAAAAGATCTGAACATCAAAGAGGATTGGCTTGTAAACAGCATCTTGTCTCCGAAGCTGACCTATTTTGGCCATTTAAAAAAAAAAGCAGAAGACATGGTGCCAGGAAGGAGGGGCAGGAGCCGACCAGTGGGAACAGGATATAAGTGACTTCCAAGACATAAAAGTGCACGAGCCGGAAGAGATGGCTAGAGATTGAGTTTCCTCTAGGCAGACAGTAATGAGAGCGACGTTCTGCAAAGGACCTGCTACATAAAGATGATGTAGAGATAAAAGACTCTTAAGTAAAGTTAATCTTGCGGTAGAGATGTATGTGACACATGATATTTAAACATATTTATGTACGCCATTTATGACCAGAAGATATAAATGACCTTTATAAGAAGGCACGCTTGTAAGTTATATTTTGGTTGCAGACTATCTATGAATAAGACATTCCGGTGAAAACAAATGTATGTATGACATTTTAATTTCAGAATCTTTGTATATCACATATGTTTCATGGAAGATATGTGTATAATCCTCCTGCATATTCTCCCCCACCTCCTCTTGATGTCTTGTCCTCCTCCTCATCTTCTTCTTCTTCTTTTTCTTCTACTGCTATTGCTTCTACTCCTACGTATTCTTCGATCTTCTTTTTCCTGTCCCTTTCTCTTCTTTCTTTCTTTCTTTCTTTCTTTCTTTCTTTCTTTCTTTCTTTCTTTCTTTCTTTCTTTCTTTCTTTCTTTCTTTCTTTCTTTCTTTCTTTCTTTCTTTCTTTCTTTCTTTCTTTCTTTCTTTCTTTCTTTCTTTCTTTCTTTCTTCTTTCTTTCTTTCTTTCTTTCTTTCTTTCTTTCTTTCTTTCTTTCTTTCTTTCTTTCTTTCTTTCTTTCTTTCTTTCTTTCTTTCTTTCTTTCTTTCTTTCTTTCTTTCTTTCTTTCTTTCTTTCTTTCTTTCTTTCTTTCTTTCTTTCTTTCTTTCTTTCTTTCTTTCTTTCTTTCTTTCTTTCTTTCTTTCTTTCTTTCTTTCTTTCTTTCTTTCTTTCTTTCTTTCTTTCTTTCTTTTTTTTTCTTCTTCTTCTTTTCACCACACCGTTTTTCCTCCGCCTCCCTAATCTTGCTATCCCTTCTTCCATTCTTAAATAACAACATAAATAAAACACTGCAGTTCATTACAAGTCCTTTTGTGTCAGTTTTCTCTTTCCGTGATTGGGTGTTGGGATAGAATACGTTGTGTGCATCTTCTTCTGCTTTTTTGTTGTTGTTTTTTTTGTGTGTGTGTTCTACCGCTTCGGGAGTCGAGGGAGATGTGTGTTTCTGCTTCTTGTTCTAGCTGCCTAGACCATAGACATATTGTGATGTAGAATTTCTGATTTCCTGTCTTGTTCTTGATCTATCTTGTTCGTGATCTATCTTGTTCTTGATCTATCTTGTTCTTGATCTATCTTGTTCTTGATCTATCTTGTTCTTGATCGATCTTGCTCTTGATCTATCTTGTTCTTGATCTATCTTGCTCTTGATCTATCTTGTTCTTGATCTATCTTGCTCTTGATCTATCTTGCTCTTGATCGATCTTACTCTTGATCGATCTTGCTCTTGATCTATCTTGTTCTTGATCTATCTCGCTCTTGATCTATCTTGTTCTTGATCTATCTTGCTCTTGATCTATCTTGTTCTTGATCTATCTTGTTCTTGATCTATCTTGATCTATCTTGTTCTTGATCTATCTTGTTCTTGATCTATCTTGATCTATCTTGTTCTTGATCTATCTTGCTCTTGATCTATCTTGCTCTTGATCTATCTTGTTCTTGATCTATCTTGATCTATCTTGTTCTATCTTGATCAATCTTGCTCTTGATGTCTCTTGTTCTTGATCTATCTCGCTCTTGATCTATCTTGTTCTTGATCTATCTTGCTCTTGATCTATCTTGTTCTTGATCTATCTTGTTCTTGATCTATCTTGATCTATCTTGTTCTTGATCTATCTTGATCTATCTTGATCTATCTTGTTCTTGATCTATCTTGCTCTTGATCTATCTTGTTCTTGATCTATCTTGCTCTTGATCGATCTTGCTCTTGATCTATCTTGTTCTTGATCTATCTTGTTCTTGATCTATCTTGTTCTTGATCTATCTTGTTCTTGATCTATCTTGTTCTTGATCTATCTTGTTCTTGACCTACCTTGTTCTTGATCGATCTTGTTCTTGATGTATCTTGTTCTTGATGTATCTTGTTCTTGATCGATCTTGTTCTTGATCTATCTTGTTCTTGATCTACCTTGTTCTTGATCGATCTTGTTCTTGATCTATCTTGTTCTTGATCTATCTTGTTCTTGATCTACCTTGTTCTTGATCTATCTTGTTCTTGATCTATATTGTTCTTGATCTATCTTGCTCTTGATCTATCTTGTTCTTGATGTATCTTGTTCTTGATCTATCTTGTTTTTGATCGATCTTGTTCTTGATCTATCTTGTTCTTGATCTACCTTGTTCTTGATCTACCTTGTTCTTGATCGATCTTGTTCTTGATCTATCTTGTTCTTGATCTATCTTGTTCTTGATCAATCTTGTTCTTGATCGATCTTGTTCTTGATCTATCTTGTTTTTTGATCTATCTTGTTCTTGATCTATCTTGTTCTTGATCGATCTTGTTCTTGATCTATCTTTTTCTTGATCTATCTTTTTCTTGATCTATCTTGTTCTTGATCTATCTTGTTCTTGATCGATCTTGTTCTTGATTTATCTTGTTCTTGATCTATCTTGTTCTTGATCTATCTTGTTCTTGATCTATCTTGTTCTTGATCTATCTTGTTCTTGATCGATCTTGTTCTTGACCTACCTCTACGTCCTATGCCCGGTGTGGTATGACGTCACAAGGCATTTAGTCCAAGCTTAAAAAGCTAAAGAAACACACAATCACACAAACACACACTAAAATCTACATATAGGTTAGTTGCTATCCTTTACACGACGTTGCAGAACCAACCCCAGCAACTCCTGGCTGTTTTGTTGTTTCTCTAGGTAAATTTACGTCCAGTAATTTGCCATTGCTTCCTAAAAGGTCGTCCCCCTGATACCACTGTCGAAACCAATGCAAGGCGCATGGCCCGCAGCTGGG